GGGGGCACGGCCCAGAACACAGGGGGCACTGTCTGGGACATGGGGGGCACTGCCCCAAATGTGGGGGGCACTGCCTGGGACGTGGAGGGCATTGCCTGGGACATGGGGGGCACTGCCCAGGACACGGGGGGCACTGCCTGGGACATGGGGGCACTGCCCAGAATGTGGGGGGCACTGCCTGGGACAGGGTGGGCACTGCCCAGGACATGGGGGGCACTGCCCAGCACTCAGGGGGCACTGCCTGACTGAGCCAGGGTGGCACCAGGGAGAGTTTGGGCCACTCACCTCCGCTGGTGTGGACGATGTACAGGGCAAACTCCTCCGCCGAGTTCTCGATCTGGGGACACACAAATCACTGTCAGAGGTCCAGGTTTTACCCTGGGCTTTCCAAGGAATTATAAACAAACCCCACTATTTTGCTGTGCTGTTGCATTTTATGTATAAATCTGTTTATATATAGATACATGTTTATATGTAATTAATGAAATATATAAAATATTTATACATTAATACAATGAATTAATTATAGTAGGAAACAATACAATATTTTAATGTAATATTGTATATAATTGCATATATGTCAGACATTTTTATATGTATACATAGATAAATACATATATATAATTATTAAAATGAATATAATGATATATAATATGTGTTATATATACTAATATACTATACTATAAATGTTATATATATACACTATACTATAAATGTTATATATATAGTATATAGATACTATACTATATATATTATCTATATATAGTATATATATAATGTGCATATATATACTATATATGTATATATAGTGTATATATATACAGTAAATATGCATATATATACTACATATATATACTAATATACTATACATAATACATATAACATATAATATACTACATATAATATAGTATATACAATATACTATATATAATTGATATAATATATAATATACTATATAATTATTACAATTAAAATATTTTAAATATAGGAATATATTTACAGATAGGGTTATTTATAAATCTATATTCATATATAGATAAATATCTTAAAATTATTATAATCAATATAGTTATATAATGTTATATATGATATATGATATAATATATGATATTTAATATAATTTAATATATGAAAATATTTTAAAAATACATATTTTACATCCATAAAATCCCCATGCAGAGCAACCCAGGAGCCTTGGGAGGGGACAATTAACACACCTTGAATTTATTGAGCAGCAGTTTGAGGACCTGGGGGGT